CAAATGGTTGGTATGTTAGATAAGGGGATGTGCCTCTTCCAAAATTTCTGCAGAACTTCAAAAACATACTTGTATATACAATCGGCCATATCTGGCCATATTTAATTTTTGAAAAAATTAAAATGAGGCTGTGAGGGATAGAAGTGCATGCAGTGTACAATTGTTAACTTTTTACTTTTAATTATATTAAAATTTTACTTGAAAATTTTACTCTTTTCTACGGCTGTCATCGTTAACGCATGCAATTCATTTTATTTATATTATCTGGCTTTCTATTAATACAATACATAATATTAATACAATGCACGACAACTGTCTGAGGTCTCCTAGTGGTTTCCATTATGTTCAGTTTAGTACCATGTGATTTAATTTACAATAAAACAAAAGAAAACAAAAATGCCTTCTTGTGTCTTGTGTTACATAATGAACTTGAAGAATCTAATTTCCAATTCATTTTCAGGTAATTATTTTGTGTGGATTAGAACGTGTGAAATGGATTGTTGGTGATTGAAGGATGCAAAGGATACACCTGATGCATCCTTCAGAACTGGCCAAATGAAGGAGGCGAAACAAAGACTACCTTCCAAGCATCCTACAAATTGAGATGTCCTGGAATGGGGCTTGATGACATGGCAGGCAATATATGCATCTTTACTAAGATGTAGTCTTTTGCTTGAGAAGCACCCTATATCTCAGCTATGGTGGGTGGATATAGTGATTAGATAAGCACTTCTTCACTTGGATCTTATTACTTATTGTTTATGCAACTGGTTTGTATACGCATGTATTTGAATGATTATTGTCATGTATGCATGATTTTTCTTCTTTCCCACAAACAAACACATTTTATTGGGTAGATGAATTGTGAATCTAAGTGGCACAGTGGCCAGTGGCACCCTAGCCCTTATTTAGCCTCACCACTGGCATGTAATTGTACACTAAGGTTATTTTGGGAATTACATACTGTATTTGCTTACTAAGTACAATACACAAGCAACTGAGCAGCCATTATGCCAGTATACAGTAAATGTTTAAAACAGTAGTATACTACATTGTTGTCACATGACTTATTGACATTATGCCAGATATATTCAGTTCTTATATATATCATCTCGGAAATAAAAATTGTTCTTTCACAATTTTTTATAAAGTTTGTAGAGTCTGATAATGAGATGTTAAAAACACATAATTTCCTTTTATTTCCTTGCATTTTTTTAAACTTCACTGTGTTGAAGCCACATAGAACTATACAGTTCTCATAAATTCCTTTCAGACCCTTGAATTTCTGCTAGATTCCATTCTAAAGAGAGGCCGACTGACTGACATACCACATGTTCCAAATGGTTGGTATGTTAGATAAGGGGATGTGCCTCTTCCAAAATTTCTGCAGAACTTCAAAAACATACTTGTATATACAATCGGCCATATCTGGCCATATTTAATTTTTGAAAAAATTAAAATGAGGCTGTGAGGGATAGAAGTGCAAGCAGTGTACAATTGTTAACTTTTTACTTTTAATTACATTAAAATTTTACTTGAAAATTTTACTCTTTTCTACGGCTGTCATCGTTAACGCATGCAATTCATTTTACAATCCTTAACGCGTTAAAATAATTTAACGCAATTAACGCAAAATTACTGAAGTACAATTTCTATTCTAACCCTTTAACCCAATTTTGCTACTCTGCTTGCGATTAGATCATTTTAAGCTGCTAAACTCCAGGAAAGTTTTCGGTCCAATGGTCCAGTAAGCGAATGCATTCAAACAATCTGTCCAAAACAGTGCTAATATAAAGAAAACCAGGCTGATTACATCAGAGATTGCAGAGAGAACAGAGACTCGCGTTGCGTTTTAAGTGAATTATTCATTCCAGTGTGTTTCGCTTTAAAACACAAGCTCTGTCATATTCTGTGATTGTCTCTGAAGAGCACACATGTCGCGCTGTGTGAAGTACAGGCTGAACGGATTGTCAACACATCCCACCGCTGTATGGCCAGATCAGACGCAAACTATGTTTTCTCGACTGGATAACCTAGGGTCCAGTCGAGAACTGCAGCGTTGCGTTTTAAGTGAATTATTCATTCCAGTGTGTTTCGCTTTAAAACACAAGCTCTGTCATATTCTGTGATTGTCTCTGAAGAGCACACATGTCGCGCTGTGTGAAGTACAGGCTGAACGGATTGTCAACACATCCCACCGCTGTATGGCCAGATCAGATGCAAACTATGTTTTCTCGACTGGATAACCTAGGGTCCAGTCGAGAACTGCGTCCTCTTTTCCCCGGACATGTCCTCTTTTTTTTGACCTACAAAAATGCATCTGGCCAGGATTTCTTAATTGCCCAAAATGTCAGGATTCGGCTGTTTTCGCTCCCGATGAATCTCTGACCATTGCCGCCTGCTCCCTCAACACATGTTTAGCTCCCGCGATTTTCGTCTCGACTCCTTTAAACATTCGAATATTGTATATAATGTTGGCGCATCAGGGAGCTGCTTTCAGGATGCGTTGTATTTAAATATTTTTGAGTGAGCGTTTGTGCTGTTTACTTTCACTTTCGATTTCGCAATCACATGCACTCTGTGTAAAAGGAGCACATCTTACAAGATCGGATATTTGGGTTGATTTTCCCAAATGGGTTAAAATTTTGAAATATTGCATAAATTGCATTTGACTGAAATGCTTGTATTGAAACATTTTGCATTCTACCTATGATACAACTTTCATGGACTTCTACATTAACTGTTCCCTCCTGGTGGAATAATGACCTTCCCAACTCATTCCGAGCAGCTGAGTCCTTAGTATTTTCAAGAAATGGCTGAAAACACATCTCTTTCACCTTTCTAATTCTACTTCTAATTTTATCTCCTTGTTTTATTTATTAAAAAACTTGACCCTCTAACATTTGCACTCTCTATTCTATTTCTATTCTAACTACTTGTTTTATTTATAAAGAAAGAAGAGCCTCTATCACTAGCATTCTCTATTCTTTTTCTATTCTTTCTACTTATTTTCTTTTTATTTATTATAAATAATGACCTTCTAACACTTGCATTATCTATTCTTTTTCTGTTCTATTTACTTATTTTTATTTAAAAATGACCGTCTAACACTAGCATTCCCTATTATTTTTCTATTCTGTCTACTTATTTTCTTTTTATGTATTATAAAAACAAAATAAGCAAACAAACAAACAAAACGTCTCGGTTACGTATGGTAACCCTCGTTCCCTGAAGGAGGGAACGGAGACATCACGTCGGTGACCGACGAATTGGGATATCGCTTCGATAGACCAATCTACTTCGATTGTAAACTAAACGAGCCAATGCACATTGGCATGCAATTATTGCATTCAGCTGCAGCTGATCACAGCGTGACTTTAATAAGGCAGCAGGTGCAATGCATACCAGGTTTTCGCTGAGGAGCCGAGCCGGCGACCCGGCCGCTCAGCGGTGGTACAGCAACTGTGGCGACGGGACGTGACGTCTCTGTTCCCTCCTTCAGGGAACGAGGGTTACCATACATAACCGTGATGTTACCTTTCAGTCAGTCACTCCGAGTCACGTCGGTGACCGACAAATTGGGATCCCTACCAAAACTCCATGGTGCTGCCCCTTCCAGTGCCCTGTGCGAGCCGCCTGCGCCCCTATCTTGTGTAGGCCGGGGCTCGGGACAAGTAGTTCCACTCACCATTTTTCAAAGCACTACCTTACTGAGTGAGATTGGATAACACTGGGAAAACGTACCCGCTCCACTTGGAACAGGGACGCTGCGGAAGCCCCATCCTTCCCAAAGGAGATTTCGGAAGCAAATACACATATAGCATCTGTTTAGGTGTATATGGAGAACTGGATGTTATTGTAACCCCCTTGGAAAGGCAGAAGTCTGCCGGGGAAACACGGGCTCTATGGCTATACCATGGGCTATACACATACGAGAACCGCTTAGGTCTCAATATGGAACCCAGCCTTCCACGGTTCCCGCGGATTAATCGTGAAGGCCCTGAGCCAGATGTTATGCCGCGTCCGCTGCCAAGGGTGACGGAGGATCTCAACAGGGGCTACTGTAGGACACTCTGGAGCAGGTTTAGTAAGCCGACACTAACCGGGGCCTCTCGGCGCCACTACCCTTTTGAGGTGAGAACACAGGAGGATACCGGCTCCACACGGAGGCTATAGAATCTAGCGAACGTGTTGGGGGTCGCCCAGCCCGCAGCCCTACAGTTATCTGTCAGCGAGGTACCACAAGCCAGCACCCAGGAGGATGCAACACTTCTAGTTGAGTGAGCTTGCAGTCTGAATGGGCAGGGCACACCCTGTGCCTGATAAGCCAGGGTGATGGCATCCACAATCCAGTGGGCCATCCTCTGCTTAGAGATGGCATTCCCCTTCTGCCGGCCTCCGTAACAGACAAAGAGCTGGTCTGAGGTCCTGAAGCTATGTGTCCGGTCCACGTAGCACCTTAATGCTCTGATGGGACAGAGCAAAGCCAGGGCTTGGTCTGCCTCCTCCGAGGGCAGCGCTTGCAGGTTTACCACTTGGTCTTTGAAGGGTGTAGTGGGAACCTTGGGCACGTAGCCGGGCCGGGGCCTCAGGATTACCTGGGAGTCAGCCGGCCCAAACTCTAGGTGCAAATCATGGACCAAAAATGCGTGCAGGTCCCCTACTCTCTTGATGCAGGCCAGTGCAAACAGGAGCAGAGTTTTCAATTAAAGAAACTTGCATTCAGCTCAACTGAATGCAAAGGCTCGAATGGGCCCTGCTGTAGTGATTTTAGCACTAGAGACAGGTCCCAAGAGGGTATAGAGGGAGGCCGGGAAGGATTCGACCTCCTGGCCCCTCTAAGGAACCTGATGACGAGGGTGGAGGGAGACAGCCTTCGCTCCAGCCCTTGCTGCAGAAAGGAAAGCATGACCGCAATCGGGCATTTTCGGGGGGTCTTCTCGGCGAGAAAAACACCACTCGACGAACAGGTTCCACTTCAAGGCGTAAGCGTGTCTCGTAGACGGTGCTCTTGCCGAAGTGATGTAGGTCACCTAGAACCTCCGCGTCCCGTCCAGGGACCAGAAATGGAGTTTCCAAAGGTCTGGACGCGGGTGCCAAATGGTGCACCGTCTCTGAGTCAGTAGATCCTTCCTCAGAGGAATCGACCAAGGAGGGACTGTCGCGAGGAGCCCTATCTCGGGGAACCAGGTCCGAGTGGGCCAATACGGTGCCACTAGCAAGATTTGCTCCTCGTCCTCCCAGATTTTTCACAGTGTCTGTGCGAGAAGGCTCACTGGGGGAAACGCATACTTGCGTAGGC